AAATGTTTTGAGAAACGATGTACAAATGCGCTTTACACAATTGATGTGTGTATGGATTGGGATAACAGTTGTATGAGCCCCTAATAAAATGTTAAAAAATAAAAAAATAAAAATAAAATAAAATAAAACAAAACAAAACAAAAAGTTTGCCTTTACCTGCTTAGACCATAAATGTGGTTTTTAAGAAAATTCCCATTATGGTGTGAAATTTAAAACAGGACCGAAGCCTATAGGGTCCCTATGAGTCAGCGGCATTGACTCAGTGGTTTGATTTTTTTTTTTTGCATTTTATAGTTAAAGGGAACATTGTAAGTAATCTCCTTCACCTCTCAATTTTATAAATTAAGCATAAGAGTCAGTCTGAGAAAGATTTTGAAGTTAAATTTTGAGCAGTTTTTTGGTTAGGAAGTTAGTATTAAGCTGATAGGTGAATGGTCTATATCACTGAACCACTGAAAATTTTCACTTGTTCTTAAATTCCAGAAATGTCTCATTTTGTCCAGCCATTAAGGAAGTTCCTTCTTTGGAACTTTTTGAGTAAATATTTTAAATTAGATATTTAAGGTCTGTTTCTTTATCTGTTGTTATCGACTTTGGTTCCTTTGAAATCTCATGGATATGAGGTTCTTTTTGAGAGAATACTATGAATTTTTCCAAATCAAGACCAATTCCAACAAATCAAGACCAAGCCTCAAAACTCTTCTCATTAAGCTTCTATTGATTCTGCATGTAAAATCCTAAATCACTAGAAATTTTAAGTTCATCGTTCATGTATAGGATGGTTTTCAACAGTTTTTCCTGTATCATATCTGTTCATCGTTAGGTACACGAAAAGCTGTATTTAAACTTAGTTTTCAAGTTGATATGAAATGATGTTGTAATAAATAAATAGCATTTAAATTTTCTATCTTGAAAATATATTTTCTTCATGTGCTTTTCTCATCTAACTACCAGATCTTTTTTTTTGACATATTTTCACGTCTAAAATAAGTAAAACCAACAAAATGATACTACAATGACCTTGTAGAAATTTTGGGAAAGCTGGTTTTTAAATTAGTGTATATTCAGGAATCAATGCTCCAGAGTCTTTAAATCTGTTAGAAGCAACCAAATGCCAACATGGGTATGAAGAAGTGTTTCAGGAATGCATGTAAAGCTAATTGAACTTTAAAGAAGTCAATTAAAGAGGCAAAATGATTGCTTTGAAATTACGAACATTTAAGTTATTGATGAGTTGGTTGTAGGAATTAGGATTTACAGTTTGTTTCTCTGAAGATTGGTATTGAATTCTGTTTTAAAAATTGTGAGAAGGGTCAATTTTTAGCAAGCAGTACATACATATATTTTAATCATTTTATCGGGAGCTCTTACAAATACAATGTGTCACAGTTTCAAGCACATCAAGCAGTATTGTACAGTTGCTACCACAGTTGGTTTCAAAACATTTTCTTTCTTTGACTCCCTGCTGTCAGCTCCTTTGTCACTTCCCTCTTCCACCATACCCCCTAGAGTCCTTAGTCTTTTCCCCCTAAAATTTTCTCTTTTTTTTGCCATATCTTACACTATTCAGTATATCCTTTCATATCCACTTCTGTTGTTCGATCCCATTGAGTGGTGTTAATATGGTCAGCAGTGCTATCAGCCGCAGACCGTTAGCATAGCAACCTAGGGAGGGGGTGTGGACAGATACAAGAACTTTTCATAAAACACAGTTAAAAGGAATCAGTGATCACTTTGGTGTGAAGACTGAAGTTGAAGGAAGTGTCAAGGACAAAATCTTCATGTGTTTGTTGCCCGTGTCTATTTTGTTGACATTTTAGCATCTTGAACTCAAAACATCTTCAAAATGGAACTCGCTTTTCCCCTTTTCTAAGCCAGTTCCTTCTTCTGACATTTGTATTTTTGTGAATGATACCCTGACTTTCATGTGACCTTTACTTAAAATATTCTCTTAATACTGTTTTTATCAAATAGCTGTCAGTCTTAAGGACGTAACCTTATCTCTTCTGCTTATTTAATTTATTTTTTTATTACTGCCACTTTATTCTGGGACCACATTACCTTTTGTCTTTATTGCTCTATTATAGCCTTGATGCATCATTAATCGGTGCTGTCCAGTTAAGTCCCTGAACAAGAACTGTCATTTTTATTTTGTATTCCTAGTACCTATCAAGAAGCCCTGGTAACAGCTAATGGTTACAAACTGGGCTGCTAACTACAAGGTCAGCAGTTTGAAACCACTAGCTGCTCCTCAGGAGAAGGATGAGGCCTTCTACTCCCGTAAAGAGTTGTAGTCTTGGAAATCCACAATATTGTGTCCTGTAAGGTCACTGCAAATTTGAATCCACTTGATAGCAGTGAGTTAGGAGTTTTTTAAGTATCATCGATGTGCGTCTCAACCTGGTAAACATAAAAATAATATAAAATGAAAATAAAATAAAATGTTTTCCTGATTACTTACTTCTCCCACTGTATTCTTACTCTTTACTACATATTTACCACCCCCACTCCCACACAACCCGCGTTCCCTTCTCTCCAAGTCATTCAGGGACTTCAACTTTCCTTAGAACACAATTCTGCTTTAGGGTTTTGCGGTAAAGGAGTATGTGCATGTAAAGTGTGCGGAATGGAGGTTTCCTTGTATTAATTTGATGAGAAATGTACTCGTCAGCCTTCTTGCACCGTAGCTCTTACCACCACAAAGAGCAGCCTCATTCCCTTCCACTCCCCTCAGGAAGTAAATACAACTCATATGTGCTGGTTGAATAAAATTGAAAACATGGTTTCTTCATATGATGTCTTTTATTTATTACTTGTGTAAATGTATTTGCATAATGTGATTGAATGTGCATCTCTTACCTTGCCCGGCGCTCTCTTCAATGTTAATGTCTTAGCTATACCCCAAGAGTGTATTGTTTTATAGCATTTAAGTGTCTACTCTGGAAATGTGTTTTTAATTGATGTGTATATTCTAATATGAACATTCATGATTATTTTTATTTTTTTAGGAATAAGAAAATATTAAATAAGAAGAAATTGAAAAGAAAACAGAAGAGCAAATCAAAAGTGAAGACAAGAAGCAAGGTAAAGCTGCTGATAGTTTATAGGAAATAAGGGCTTTTTGCTACAGTCATATGATCGAAATACTAAGCTTTAAGAACGTGTGTAAAATTAGCAAACTATTCTCTTTCTGTATACTGAAGTACAGTGTCGGCTAGAAGGCATGTAAGTAAATTTTGACTTTAGAATAGTGAATCTGTGTTGGGGTAATGAACCTTATTAAGAAATGCAAAACCCAAAATGAATGAAGTGGACATTTTTTAGGTTTTATATTTTTTGTGTGCAAATGAAGGTATGAATTAATAAGTGATTCTGAAATTACATTGGATACAGAAAAAGTGCCTATCAGTTTGCTAAACGCTAGAGGCATACTTAAAAAAGAAAGATAAGTAAATATACAACACGCGCGCGCACACACACACACACACACACACACACACACCCCCTGTTTTAGCCCAGTGTTTAAAGTTTCTTCTTTTTTTTCCCCAAAGTTTTTTCATTATTATTTTTTAAAATCTTAAGTATTTGGGTTTTAAGTCCGGTAGATCGTTACTTTGGGATGTTACTTGACCAGTAGCCTGGAAATGAATATCTAGGTGCTGAATATTATTTTTTATTTATTTGTGTTGTTATATTTAGTCCTTTGGGACCATGTATTTGTTTCTTTACATCTGTTTCATTTTCACTACATCTTGTAGAAACTGAGAGAAAATTGCTTTTGAATTGGGACTTGGATTTGGGTTCCTCATTTGGTCCCGTGACCTAACAAACCAAGTGAATTTGTGAGACTGTTGGTATCTCCATAATGTTCTGAGTTTCTTCTGTCTGTGGGTTGCTGTGCCAAAGAAAGCACAATATAGAATATTTGAATTATTAAAAAACCCACAAACAGATGGTGGAATAGGAAGTTCTATGCTCCTGTCCACCCATAGGGATGGGAAAAAATTACAGACAGAAAATGACAGTGAAAATCTGGTGGAAAGTACCTACCCATCATTCATCAAAACACTGGTGAATGGTGGCTGCTACCATTACAGACCATTTTGATCAAAGATTCCATAGAAGCATCCTTATCAAAGTGGGGAAAGTAGAAAACAGAATTCAAATTTTCATGGGGTCTAGACTTTCTGGAGCTATGGAGGATGGATGAATCCCTGAAACTGTTGCACTGAAATAATCTTTAAACCTTAAATGGACAATATCTTCTTGAAACTGAACAGTGTTATAGCTTCACACGTTAAAAAAAAAAGATCTGACTTAAGCATATGATCATTTAAAACTGTCTAGTATGATACCAAATTGACAACAGCTGTTTTATGTTAATAAGGGAGGACTAATCTATGGGCTACCAGGGCTTGAATGGACAGCAGCTAGTTTGGATTGGATTTTTGGGAAGGTGGTGGAGTAGGTGTCACATGGCATTTTTGATGCATCCAGCTATGGCAAATGAAACAAGTTGCACACTTCGGTCTTGATGTTTGCACAAAGCAATATGACCAGCTACTAGGCATACCCCATTGCTCCAGACATATATCAATTAGCACAATCATTGGCACTGAGAGAAAGACCATTTATTCCTGAGCCACATTGGCCAGGGTTGACCAAGGGCCGATCGTGGTACCTGTCGAGAAGTAGTAGGTGTAAGGAAAAGGTGGTACAGTGGATGTATGTTTAAGAATTTAGAAAATAGAAAACGTTTTCTAAAATGGTTGCTTCATTTTGTATTTTGCCAACTGTGTGTGAAAATTCCATTTTAGCTTTTTAAATTTTAGCCATCCTTAATATGTACAGGTATCTCACTATAGTGTTAGCTTCCCTTTCTTTAATGACTAATGATGTGAACATCTTTTCCTGTGTCTTTTGGCCATTCCTGTGTGTTTTTCTTTATTTTGTGAAGTATCTATTCAGATCTTACTCCTTCCTTTTTATAATTGAGTTCTTAGCCCTATTGAGGTGGTAAAAGCTCTTTGTATCCTCTAGATTTAAGATCTTTGTCAGCAGTATTGTACATAATTTCTTCCATTATTTTGTATCTTCATATTGCTTTCCAAAAACAAATTATATTTTGTATAAAATTCAATTAATTATTTTGATTCAAGCATTTTATGCCCTATATTTTTTACCCTGTACTTCAAGGTCACAATTATTTCAGAGATTTTAGTTTTAGCTTTTAATTTAGCTCTTAACCATTTTAAGTTAGGTTTTGTATTGTGAAGTAAGGGCCAATGCTGGTCTTTTCTACATTAATTCCAGTTGATTTTGCATCATTTGTTAAAAAGGCTTTTTCCCCCCTAGTTGGTTGCTACCATATTAATCTAAAATTGCTGATGTATAGGCAAAGTGCCCTAGTGGTGCAATGGTTAAGTGCTTAGCTGCTAACTGACCTTCTGGCAGTTTGAACTCACTTGTCATTCCACCAGAGGATAGATCTGACAATCTGCTCTGGTAAATGTTACTCACTCACTCACTCACTGCCATTGAGTTGATTCTGACTCTCAGCAGCCCCATAGGTCGGGGTAGAACTGCCTCATATAGGTTTCTGAGATTGAAACTCTTTTTGGGAGTTGACAGCCCTGTCTTTCTCCCAAGGAGCAGCTGGTGGTTCTTGAACATCTGACCATGGGGTAGCAGCCCAATGCATAACCATTATGCTACCTTGGCTTAGGAAACTATCAGACAGTTGTGCTCTGTCTTCTAGTGCTCCTCTGACTTAAAGTAGACTCAGTGGCACACAGCCGTAGAAAGGATATGTTAGATTGAATCATGGACTTAGGTTCAGTCTTTACACAGTTATTTATGTGACTTTACAAGTCAACTTATCTAATCTTTAATATTTTGTTTAAGTAGGAATTGATAATGCCAGAAAATAATCTAAAATTGAAGTACTGTCTTTTCTATTCTAGTCAGAAAACTTGGAGAACACGGTCATCATACCAGATATTAAATTGCATAGCAATCCTTCCGCTTTCAATATATACTGCAATGTTCGGCATTGTGTTCTGGAATGGCAGAAAAAGGAAACTTCATTGGCAGTTGCCTCTAAGAACTCTGTGCAGAGCGGGGAGTCAGATAGTGATGAGGAGGAGGAATCTAAAGAGCCCCCGATCAAGCTGCCAAAGGTAAGCCACTGACTTCTGTTTAGATGCAAACACACAGGAGTGCCTGTGTATATTGAAAATACCTTGCTTTCTTTCAAAATAATGGAGCCATGGGTAAAACTAGGCTTGAAATATACACCAGGAAAACTGGGATGATGCAACTTTATAATCAGAGCACCTTCAAAGTAAGTAATGGCAACACTCCATGTTGAGTCCTTGGACAGCACATTCTGGGCTGTGAGGCCCGAGGGTTGGAGTTGGTGATGGGACTTGAATAGTGTACAAAGGCAGTAGAGTGGATATGCTGGCATGCAGGTCCTGGGCCACTGCAAATGGAATTGGAGCTCTGAGCTGTGAGCTGCCATTAAGTACAAACTGTCATAAGCCGAGAGCTATAGGAAGCTGGGGTGTACTGCCCTGTCATGAGGGAGCCTTCAAAGCAGGTTGACTTTGGCCCTTAGTCATCCGTTAGGTGTGGAACTGAACTTACCCCCATGTTAGCATAATCCACCATTTCATGTCCAAAATACATCATTTATCTGAGTACGGAGTAAAGAAGGTTAGGAAAAAGGGAGGAATGGGAACCGGAAACACAGGGAGGAAGTGGGATAAGCAATGAATGGTACATTTAGGGGATTGCAGTGGATGAAACAAAAAGTGTATGAACTGGAATGTAAAGCTGATGATCTGCTCAGTAAACCTTCACCTAATTCACAATAAAAAGATTGAACATCAGTTTCAGAAATCCTATATGGGCTTTCTGTGAGTTGGAATTGACTTTATGGCAGTGGGTTTTTGGCTCCGCATGTGGACTTGGAGGAAAGGAATGGGGTGCTTAAGAAAAAGTAGGGGAAAAAAGGAAAAGAAAAAAAAAGGTATGCTAGGATGTAAAGTTGAAAGGTGTGGGTAGGTCACGCTGTCCTGCAGTAACCAGACTGCTTCAGTTCAGTGTTGGGAGGGAAAACTGAAGCCCCCATAAATCTATCAGACAGATAATATAGATGTTTGAGCAATGAACTGTGGTTCTAATGAAACGATACTACATAATCAAGAAAATGGGTTCTTGATTTGTTTTAAACAATCAGTATAAATGAGTATTGAGGAAGTAATGAGTGATTCTTCAGAAAGTATTTCACGACATCATTAGCAGAGTTTACAATAAAGGAAATTAAAAGAAAATCAAATAGCACAAATGAATAAGTTTGTAAGTAAGCAAGTAAGCTTGTTTTTCATCACATTCCCATTGGAAGGCAAAACAGTGATTAAAAAAGTGGGTTATGGAATCAGACTGCCTGGGTTTGTGTCCTGTTCTGTGCTGTTGGGTCAACTCTGACTCAGCAACCCCGTGTAACAGAGTAGAAAGGCCCCATCTGGTTTTCTTGATTGTAATCCTAGCAGCCAAGCACTCATGCATTGTCTTGGTTCAGATACTCACACAACAAAACAAATCTTGCTGTATGATCTAAGAGAGCTAGTTGATCTCTCTGTACCTTGACTTTTTCATCTGTAAAATGTGAATGATATTTACGTCACAAATTATTGCAGACCAAATGAGTTAAGGGATGTCAAGTGCTTGAGAGAATAGTTTGTGGCACGTTGTAAGCGTTCAATAAATGAATGACAATGGCAGTTACCCATGTTAAGTGAATATGCACAGACACACTTGAGTTACTTTCCCAGGAATTCTTACATTTACTAAGAAATGCCTTACAGCCAAAGAAAGAAAACTTTTGGAGTGAGATCATGTGATGAAAGACTTGGAGGGAGAGAAAGAAGCAAGGGTGGAGCCCTGGGTTGGGCATGGGCTTCTGGGAATAACTTTTTGAGGTGAGGCTTTGGACAGCTGTCTGCAGACGTGAAAGACTGGCTCACAGAAAGCTGTCGGGCTGTGAGGTTTCAGGTGATGGGGATTTGAGGCCAGGTGAGAAATGCTGTATTTTCTTTTCTGTTCGACCCTTTTTGTACTGCTATTGCTACACCAAATGCCTTTGACATTTTATCTGTTTCCTTCTCTCTTGTTCCTCCCTCGTTTCTGCATGTGTGGCTTTGCCTGTTCATCTCCTCACAAACAAAATTTATTTGTTTCCCTTCTGTATGTTTAGAAGGTAAATCAAATATGACTTTTTTGGACATGTTCTATGGCGTAATAACCACTGATCATTTTTAAAGAGGCTTTCTTACCCCTACCTTGTTGTTAGTGTCATAGAGTCAGTTCTGACTCCATCATTACTCTGTGAGCAACAGACTGAAACACCTGCCCAGTCCTGTGCCATGAAGTCAGGTCAGACTCATAGCGACCCTGTAGGACATGGTAGAACTGCCTCTGGCTTTCCAAGATTATAGTTCTTTTTTTTTTTTTTTGGTCTTTTAAAAAAAAAATCATTTTATTGGGGGCTCGTACAGCTCTTATCACAATCCATACATACATCCACTGTGTCAAACACATTTGTACATATGTTGTCATCATTTTCAAAACATTTTCTTTCTACTTGAGCCCTTGGTATCAGTTCCTCATTTTTTCCCCTTCCTCACGAAGCCGTGATATATTATTTTGTCATGTCTTACACTGACTGATGTCTCCCTTCACCCACTTTTCTGTTGTCAGTCTCCCTGGGAGGGGGTTATATGTCGATCTTTGTAATTGGTTTCCCATTTCCCTTACCCTCCTGATATTGCTACTCTCATTATTGGTCCTGAGGGCTTTATCTGTCCTGGATTCCCTGTGTTTCTAGCTCTTATCTGTACCGTGTACATGCTCTGGTCTAGCCGAATTTGTAAGGTAGAATTGGGGTTATGGTAGTGGGGGTAGGACACATTAAAGAACTAGAAGAAAGTTGTGTTTCATTGGCGCTATACGGCACCCTGACTGGCTCATCTCTTCCTTGTGACCCTTCTGTCCAATGTCTACAGATGGGCTTTGGGTGTCCACTCTGCACTCCCCCTCATTCACATTGATATGATTTTTTGTTCTGGGTCGTTGATGCCTGATGCCTATCGATACCTCATGATCACACAGGCTGATATGCTTCTTCCATGTGGACTTTGTTGCTTCTCAGCTAGATGGCCGCTTTAAGAACCCAGATGCTGTATCTTTTGATAGCCGGGCACCATCATCTTTTTTCACCACATTTGCTTATGTACCCGCTTTTGTCTTCAGTGATCATGTTGGGAGGTGAGCATTACGGAATGTCAGGTTATTAGAACAAAGTGTTCTTGCTTTGAGGGAGTACTTGCCCAATGTTCGTCTGCTACATTCATACTTAGCATATAAATATATGTACATAGATCTATTTCCCTATTGTTATATATAAATATACTGATATATGTACATGCTTATATTTAGACCTCTATAAATTCCCTTTGCTGCCTAATACTTTCCTCTATTTCCTTTTCCTTTCCCAAAATTATAATTCTTTATGAGAGTGGAAAACCTTATTTTTCCCCTGAAGAGCTTCTGGTTGTTTTTAACTACTAACCTGGTTAGCAGTCCAATGTGTGACCAGGGTTTCAGGTATGAGGTAGAAGGGAAGTATTAACAACAAATTATGCCAATTAACTGGAATGTCTTATGAAGCCATGACCTTAGCCCTTCAAACCAAGAAACCAAATACAAGTGAACATATTTCTGGTATTCTTTGCTGGCACTGATTTCCCTTGTTATATGATTCATCTGATACTGGCACGAATAGCTCTTGTTCTATGTCCTCTTCTGAATCTGACTTGCACTTCTGACAGCTTATTGCCTACCAACTACTGCAACCACTTTTTGATTTTTCGTTAGAAAAACTTTACTTGCAAGTGATATTAATGATACCGCTTGATAATTTCAGCATTTGGTTAGATCATCTTTCTTTGGAGTGGACACAAATATAGATATCTTCCAGTCTGCTGGTCAGTTCGCTGTCACCCAGATTTCTTGCTGTAGACTAATGAGTGCTTCCAATGCTATATTAATTAGTCTTTTGAAATAATTTCAATTAGTATTCTGTCATAGAACCTTTGTTTTTCACAAATGTCTTCTGTGTAGTACGGGCTTCTTCCTTCAGTAGCATCAGTTCTTGGACATATGCTACCTCATAACATGGTTGGATGTGGACCAGTCATTTTTGGTATATTGACTGTGTATTCCTTCCACCTTCTTTGGATGTTTCTGCATCATTCAATATTTGGCCCATACATTCCTTCAGCATTGCAACTGTAGGTTTGAATTTTTCTCCAGATATTTCTACCCGAGAAAAGTTGAGTGTTTTCTTCCCATTTGACTTTTTAATGCCTAGTCTTTGCAGGTTTCATTTCAGTAATTTATTTTGTCTTCTCAAACTGTCCTTTGAAATTTTCTGTTGAAGACCTTGTGCATAGTCATCATGTATGTTGTTAAAAAATTGTATTCGCTATGAAGAAATCGTTGATGTTTCAAAATTCTATCCTGCTATCTCTAGCTGTGAGGTGGCAGTATATTTTGAATTCCTTCCAACCTGACTGGCTCATATTCCAGAAATATATCAGATACTGGTTTGCTGCTGTCCATAAGGTTTTGGTGACTAAGATCTCAAAAGTGGACCACCTCTTCTTTCTTCATAGTCTGGAAGTTCTACTGAAACTTGCTCAGCCTGGGTGACCCTGCTGGTATCTGAGAAACTGATGGTATAGCTTCCAGCATGCCAGTAATATACAAGCCACTACTATACTACATGTGGGTGGGGAGAGCGTATAGTACTAATTATTCAGAAGTAATAAAAAGCAAAAGCCCAAACCCTCTGCTACTGAGTCTATTCCAACTCATAGTGACACCCTGTAGGACAACTCCTTTGGGTTTCCAAGGCTATAAATCTTAATGGAGTAGAAAGCTTCATCTTTTTCCTGGGAGTAATTCGTGGAGTCAAACAGCTTACCTTCTGGTTAGCAGCCCAACGCATAACTCAGTATGTTACCAGGACACCTTGTAAATGTAAGCTTCAGTAAATTTATGGGTATATTCTGAAGAGAAGGGGAAGAAGACATTATGTTGGATAGTTAGTTATCTTATTATTGAATGAATTGAAACTTAATGTTTTTTCTAATATGTAATTACTGTCCTGTTTGAAAGTCATTTATTAGGTATATTTTAAATTATCAAAGCACTGCATATCTTTTGTATGTTAGATAATATGTATATTAAAAACTTTTTATAAAGAGGAAAATCATTTCTTACATCCTATGTCCCCCCAAAACTACTGTTTTTCTTTGTTTTATCTATTTTTCCATATTCATAAATTAAAGGAAATATTTATTTCTATGCAGGTAGTTCATACTGCATTTGCAGTGTATTTTTTCTCTTTTTGCACTATTGTTATAAAGGAAGAGAGTTGGAGTGTGTTTGTAGTGACTCTAAAATAGGCTTCAAAGTTTACAGTTCAGTTTCCAATTTATATGCATACATGTGTATCTACACATGCATACATGCACAGTTGTGTGCGTATGTGGCAAAATATTGTACTTAGACAAACCTCATACAGAGACATAATTGTTTTCTATTTTTATAATTCACAGATAAATATCAATATTTATTTAATGATTGTAAAACCTGAGCTTGATTTTTACTTTACTGTATATTGAAAACACTCTACTGTTCTGGGAGTGAATTTATTTCCCCCTTACTAGAAGGTAAAAGTTAACAACAATAACCAAAAAAATTTCAATGAGCCGGTATAGAAAAGGAAGTGGGAAATTCACTGTCATAATCATGTTGATTAGGTCTTATGTATATGACCCACGAGCAGTTGATACTCTGGCCTAGGAAGCCTACCAGAGTTGCCTATTATCATACATTTGTTGTTATATCTTAAACTTATCAGAGGTATCTTAAACTTATCAGAGGGATACTCAGGGATATTTAGAAAGCAGTTTTACTATTCTGGCAAGATTTAACACTTGCGAGAAAAAAAAAGACTTAACACTTTCTGTATTACTATAGGAAATATACATATTTCCTATACTTCAAAAAGTCATTGGGAAAGATGGCACTACTAAATAAAATGTCTTTTAAACATAAACTTATTTCTCAAAATAAATTCCATCAAGGTGAAGACAGGTTTGTAAGCAATCCATACCTAAAGACCTGAGAGTCCAGGAAATTTCACCATGTCATTGCTATCTCTTTTACAGTAGTTAACAGTTAACTGTTAACTGTTCCTCAGTTCCTCAGTTAACTACTGTAGTTCTCTAGTTAATAGCTCTTCAGTTAACTGAAGAAAAATGGGTGTCCTTTAAAGATTTTTTAAAGTTTGGAAACAAAATGATAACTGAAAGAGCCAAAGTAGGACTGTAAAGTGGATTGCTAATGATTTCCCATCAAAACTTTCACAAAATCGCCCTCTTGCGATAACAGGAATAAGCATTATTGTGGTGGGAATGGACACTGGAGAAAGTCAGTAAGCAAAATGTCTTGAGCACCCAAAAACCTGTTGCTTTGACCTTTGCTCTTGCCTGGCCTGCTTTTGCATCTTGATAACCTTGGGTTTTGGGATTATGCTGGTAAAGCCAGTTTTCACCAACTCTTCTAAGAAATGCTTCAAGATCTTAATCTCATTTGTTTAAAATTTCCATTGAAAAATTGGTTTTCCTCAGTAGCTGGTTTGAGTGCAACATTTTTGGCATCCATCAACTGGGAAGTTTGCGGAACTTTAATGTTTCAATCAGAATGGTGTAAACCGAACCAACTGAGATGTATATTTTGTTGGCATTGTTCCTGCTGGTCATTGTCAGTCCTCTCCATTAGAAGAGGACAGGACCTAATTTGTTCTTTGTAAATTGATGTGAATGCTCCGCTACTGTGGGCTGTGTCTCCAACATTATCTCACACCTTCTTGAAAGGCTATTTTGAAGTCATTGGTTTGTTTAGGTAATTTCCCATTAACTTTTCATAAAGCATCCGTGCTTTTACCAGTCTTCCATGCAAGTTTCATAAATACAATGTATGTTCTTCAGTTTTAGCCAAATTCATGTTGTTTTGAGAGGTGCTCTTTTTAAACTGATGTCTTATCTTTCTTAATGCTTCAAACTAGACCCTGTACAGACATGTAATAGAAAGTTAATCCAAGTTTGTCTTGATTTAAAAAAAAAATGCAATCGGTTCTTAGCATATAGTAGTTTTCCATTGACCTGAGAATAGAGCCCAACGTTTTTAACTTAGGAGGTTTTTAACCTGTATTTCTGTTTCTTGTGAGTACCATATATACTTGTGGATAGGCCGAGTTTTTCAGCACATTTTTAATGCAGTTTTTGTGGTAAAATTAGGTGCCTCCATTGATATTTGGATTGGCTTATACTCGAGTATATATGGTATGTTTAAAGAGATGGAAATCTTGGGTAATATTTTTTATTTTCTAGTCCATTCAGGGAAAAGAAATTATATCAAATGAGAAAATATAATCATATAGTGCATGTAATCAATTGAAATTCTATATGAGCACATCTGTAATCATCTTAGATCAGTTTTCTAAAGAGAATCATGCTAGTTATTTTGACTCTTCAATTTTATGTTAGTTATATTCAGTCTTGCAGATAAATATTAGAATACTGCAAACTTACTTGCCTGCAACTCATTTAACTCTTCTGTGGAAAATAGATTTTTGAGTTGCCATGGTTTTTAACCTACAAATGAATAAACAAATATTTATTATATACTTATCATGTTCCAGGAACTAGGCTAGATTGATTGTAAACTATCTAAGACATGTTTTTTGTTTATAGAGAGACCATAATTTAGCTGGGAAAATAGAAACAAAAATTGTCTATTATATAATGTGTGATAAAACAAAGGCTTTACCAGGGTACAAATGTATACATGATTCATTGTTCTCTATTGGATTATAACTCTTAAACACCAAGTTTCAATAAAATTCCTTCATATACTGTATAGTGACTTGTACAAATAAGTGCTTAGGAAATATTTAAGTACAAATGATTAAGCAAACCCTTGCAGAGAGAAGCTTTTCCCATTAATTCCACTTGAATTAATCATCTGATGCATTTCTACTCATGAATCTTATTTTAATTATTTGTTACTTCAGACAGTTATATTAACACTCCTAAAGAGAACCTGTAGGTTAGGTGTTGGGCTGCAAACAGCAAGGCTGGTGGTTCAAGCTCACCAGCTGCGCCCCTAGAAAGATGAGGCCGTCTCTAATACCCCAGTGAGGTGGTGATGAACCCAAGTGGACTTGATGGCAGTGTTGCTGTTTCCGAAGCAATCTTGCACTTCTGATTCTCAAAATGTTGACATTGCTGCAAAAGAGCATTTCATGGTTTTTTGTTTATTACTTCATTTTACTTATTCAGTCTTGAGGTACAGATAGATCTTTTTCGTACCTGCTCCTGGGAAACCATTTATAGAGTTGTCAGAATTGACTCAATAGAAATGAGTCTGACTGGGTTGCTCCCTGATCTGTGAGATTTCTGTGGATCTTGATGAGTAGTGATCAGATAATTAGGATAAAAGTACCAGTGATAGTTTTCAATTCTTTTTGTGGTAATCTTACTAAAATAGAAGATATATCTATAAATAATAGTGCAATTGTACCAATATACAATGAACAGCTCCTTTTTTAACCTTTTTACTATATACAGAGGGCTTCAAAAAGTTCATGCAAAAATTCCATTATCTTGTTACACCCCCCCCAACAGTTTTATTGGAACATGATTTACATATCATACAAATGTGTAGTTCAGTCATATCAAGGGGCAATTGTACAATCACCACCACATCCTAGAGCATTCCCTCTCCTCCTTGTTGAATGACCCCCAAAATGAGCCGTGCAATCAATTGGCCCCCGTGCTCCTTCCCCCTGCTGCCCCATTATCTTCCAATTCCATTTTTCTATAACTTTCCAAAGCTCCTCATAGGTGATACGCTCTTTATTTTTGGTCATGACAACATATGCTTTGCCAAAGAGTATTAGATTTTACTTGAGCACAGCCAAATGAAGTTTGCAAATGAATACAATTTATTTCCTCTAAGTGAATGCAATCTAATATCTGGTTCACAGTTATAGTTTTCATGACAGTTTATTAAGATTTTATTATGCCTAAGCAACTTTTTTTTTTAGCATTGGCACTGTTATAACCTTTCATATAATTAGATAAAAGTTGTCCTAATCTTGAGGTTAAGCATGCTTTTTATATGTTTTGTTTTTGTTCTTGCCTCTCTACTATTACAAATGTTGGTTTGTCATTTGCTGTGGAAATGACTGGAAAGTATTCTAAACGTGCGTGTTACAAAGTGTCCTCTGCCCCTTTCCCCCATCTTAATAGATCATTGAGGTGGGACTTTGCGAGGTGTTTGAACTGATCAAGGAGACTCGGTTTTCTCATCCATCCCTGTGTCTCAGGAGTCTCCAAGCCCTGCTTAATGTGCTTCAGGGTCAGCAGCCAGAAGGCCTGCAGTCGGAGCCCCCAGAGGTCCTAGGTAAGAGTCCAGACTCATTGCATGAGGGTTTAAAACGAAACGACTTCTCTTAAGACAGTATGGCAGCAGTCTTTAAGTAATTTTGGCAATTAAATGATTACAGGTATTAATTTGGAAGTGTTTGCTAACAGGATTTCACTGAATGAATGTATTCGGAGTGATAGTTCAACACACACCCCAGTGCTCATTACAGCACTGTTTACAATAGCCAGACGGTGCCCATCAGCAAATGATAGATAAGCAAAATGTCGTCTATTCATATAATGGAATATCACTCGGCCATAAAGAAAAATGAAGTGCTGACGCACGCTACAATATGGATGCATTTTGAAAATATGCGCTGTGAAAGCAGTCAGTCACAAAAGGACAAATAGTACATGATCCCATGTCTTTGCAATAGGCACATGTTTTGAGACCATAGCTTATTAGTGGTTCCCAGGGGTGGGGGAAAGGAGGGTTTGGGCGGAGGCATGGGTGGGGTGGGGTTCACTAAGTTGCTGTTGATGGCAGTGGATTCATGTAGAAAAGGAAAGTGGTGAAGGCTGCACACAACCCGGGGGACATGATTAGTGTCATTGAAGTATACATGTAGAAGTTAGTGAATTGGCTCTATTTTGTTATATATCTTTTTAACACACGCACAGTTATAGTTCATGCTCAGACATTTCTTGATTATCCTGGTGATGGGTAAGGGGACTTAAATCTTTGGAACTCAGAGAACCCTCTTTTTTTTTTTTAATAAATCATTTTATTGGGGCCTTTTAGAGCTCTTATAACAATCCAAACATCAATGTATCAAGCACCCTGTACATATGTTACCATCATAATTTTCAAGACGTTTTCTTTCTACTTGAGCCCTTGGTATTAGCTCCTCTTTTTGCCCCTCCCTCTCACACCATGCACACCTCATGAACCCTTGATAAATTACTGTTATTTTCATATCTTACACCATCCACTGTCTCCCTCAGTTCTTACAGTTATTATTAGCTTTATTCGTTCGTTTTCACATTTTGCTCCAAAGAGTTAGCATTCAATTTCTATAACTTTACATAATACTCTGGATACTTAGTTAAAAAAAAAATGAGACAAATGCTATTAAAAACAGGACAGTTAAACAATTCTTTTGTGTTCTTCATAAATCAAAATATCTTAATTGGGTTATAGATAAAGTCTGTAAATTAGTAGCAACTTCCATTAAGTAAACAGATTTGCTTTTAAAAAAAATAAAAGATCATTGCTAGATTTGCATTTTAAGAAGACTTTGAATTTTAAGACAGCTTGCCTTTCATGCAAATGATCTAAGTTTGATACCCAAACCAAACTCATCACCTTCAAGTCCCTTCTGGGGTTTTGGGAGCAGACAAACTTATTTTCCACCTGGAAGGCCGCTGATGGGTTTGAATTGTTGATCCTGAAGTTACAAACTCTAAGCCTAACCAGCAGTACCACCAGACTCAGCACATAATCTACAAACAATATAGGCATGTTTGCTTTAACCTTGTTAAAGAATAGAAATATAAAGGAAACAACAAATTTAAAAAAATCATTTTATTGGGGGCTCTTACAACTCTTATTATCACAATCCATACATACATCCACTGTTTCAAGCACATTTGTACATTTGTTGCCATCATCATTCTCAAAACATTTTCTTTCTACTTGAGCCTTTGGTATCAGCTCCTCATTTTCCCCCTCCCTCCCTCATGAATCCTTGATAATTTATAAATTATTATTATTTTGTCATATCTTACCCTGTCCGACGTCTCCCTTCATCCACGAAACAACAATTTTTTAATTGCCCTTTTTTGATATTAACCTTGGGCCTCCAGAGTCTCAGGTTTTCCAGATACTTCTGGTATAGGGTCACTATAGGGATGCTGTGAGTCAGCATTGATTCGAGAGATAGCAGTGAGTTGAGAGTTTCTGGTGGAAGAAAATCTTCAGAAGCACTAGCACTTTGATTCTTAACATCAGCACGTAATAGCGTCATTTGGGCCCCACCCGTGATGTTTCTGAATCAGTAGGTCTGGTGATAGTTTTTTGTCTTATTGGGTGATTTCACATATAGTGATTTAGCTTTTATGTAAGATCTTTTTTGTTGTTGTTTTCTTCTAGTTGGTGGGGCAGTAATAATAATTATTCTTGGGGTGGAAAGGGGGAACCGATTACAAGGATCTACATATAACCTCCTCCCTGGGGGATGGACAGCAGAAAAGTCGGTGAAGGGAGACATCAGCGTAAGATATGACAAAATAGTAATTTATAAATTATCAAGGGTTAGTGGGGGGGGGGAGTGGGGAGGGAGAGGAAAAATGAGGAGCCAGTGTCAAGGGCTTGGGTGGAGAGCAAATGTTTTGAGATTGATGAGGGCAATGAATGTACAAATGTGCTTGACACAATTGATGTATGTATGGATTGTGATGAGTTGTATGAGTCCCCAGTAAAATGATTAAAGAAATTATTCTTATTCGAACTATTAAGATAAGCTGGGGCTTTGCAGAAATAACCACCCAGCTCCCATAAATGTTATTAAATGCTGTCACCGAATAAAAACTATTATGTATTAAGCAGAGACCTATTAGTTACTGCTACAGTAGTTACAGTGATCAATTTATGTTGGGATAGACTACTTAGCTTGATAACATTTTACTGAAGATTTATTTTATTTGGATCTATTTTAATAGTTATTCTTTGTTTTGTCAGTTGACAAATTGGGGTCTTAAAATATCCACTAAAACCTACATTCCATATTTCTTATTTTGAGTCACATGCTCATCATTTCTTCCCTTCTGGATCTTCCACCACTCGGATGTCTTGTGTCAACTGTTGTACATACTA